AGGAGCTTATAGTGGTTTATAGAAGGAACAAATCAGACATCCAGCCCTTGCTTATCAATGGAGACTGAGTGGAGCAAGTGGCCAGTTTTAAGTTTCTGGGTGTTACCCTAAAAGAGGACCTGACCTGGGGTGCCCACATTGCAGCTCTGGTCAAAAGGGCCCAGCAGAGATTATTCTACCTGAGGCTTCTCAGAAAACAACAACTGAATGAGAAACTGCTGGTGACCTTCTACCGCTGCACCATAGAGAGCATTTTAACATACTGCACCTCTGTAAGGTTTGCCAATTGCACAGTGGCAGATAGGAAAGCATTCCAGAGGGTTAACGTCATTGCCCAGAAGATCATTGGCTGCCCTCTCCCTTCTTTGGAAGAGTTTTATAGCTCCCGCTGCCTTAAGAAAGTTCAAAACATTCTCAAAGATCCATCTCATCCTGAGAACCCTTTTTTTGAACTATTACCATCTGGCAGACGGTACAGAATAATAAAAAAAAAGGACAAATAGGCTGAAAAACAGCTTCTATCCCAGGGCAGTAGCTCTTTTGAATTCTGCTGTATAGTGCAGTGTTGGTGTGGTGTCGGGGGTTTCCGGTTCAATGTGAAGGATGTGTGTTTGTGTTTATTTTCATGGTCATGATGTGCACTGAAGATGGTGTTTGATTTCGTTGTACGAGGTGCATTAACAATAAAGTAAACTAAACTAGACCCTGATGCGGCCCTCAGTGAAATTGAGTTTGACACCTTTGCCTTAGATAGACCGGCTAATTTCATGCTTAGTCTGCAACAAAGATACTTTATTCCTGAAAGACATATATGAAGCGGTGGCTTAGAACTGACAAAAGAGGAAGAACTGTAGATTAAATCATAAATAGTAACAGTGACCTGGTGGAAGATACAATTGTTGTAGAACAGACTGGAAAACAGCAAGTATTTTGCTTTTATGTTTAGCCTACATGCAAATAAAAAAAGTCAAGAAATGTTTTTGTATTCCCTTGTGATTATTTAAAAATACAATAATTGTAGCTCAATCGGAATGTAAGAGTCAGCCAAGTTCAGAAAGAGGCCAGCACTGCTTTCTAGTAGTATCCAGGAAGCTGTAAAAGTTAAGAAGACTTCCTTCAGGAAATGGAAAGTCTGTCCTAACACAAAGAATTCAAGTAGGACAGCCTGTATTGACTTTCACATGGAAGGAAGAAATCACAAAAATTAGAAGTAACAAGAGAAAAACTAAACATTTTGAGGGACTGTATAGTATAGTATTAAAACAGTCGGGTCTGATGACATCAATCCAAGATTATCTATCCGTCTGTGTCTGTCTATCTGCCTATCTATCTATCTATCTATCTATCTATCTATCTATCTATCTATCTTTCTATCTATCATGGATGGATGCCATCAGAACCCAGAGTTTTAGTACTATGCTGTATTAGAATCAGAGAATTCAGCTTGTTGAAAACTTTTCCAGGGTAAAAAAGAAATATATATTGGAGTGAAACAGAACAGAAAGGTGAATGAACAGCCTGGAAAATATGAGGAGCTGGATGTCCTGTTCAAATATTTCTTTATAATGGGGAAGTAGTGCTTCCTAGAAAGAAGTAAATCCTTTGAAATATTGACTAAAAATTAAGTTTAGAAAACAAAATTGACGCTTCTGTAGCTTAATTGATCAAAAAGGGATTCTTCAGAAGTTTGAGATTAATAAGGTATCTTTCTAAAGGAAGGTTAGTAAATTATTTGCATTGGAACAAAAGGCAGAAGTTGGTAGACACCTCCAACTTAATGCCATCCATATGCACTTTCTCATCAATTCACACTCACCAAATCTGTAGTGTGAGAGGTTATGTGAATCGTAGTCCAACATATATGACAAGTTGAGAAAGACAAACATTAAAAAATAGAAAAATATTAATACTATAATATAATCAGAAAAATAATTTAAAAATAGATAACGGGCCAGGGAGCATAAACTGAAGCAAATTATATTATAAATAGAACAGCCCCACACAAATTGATCAAATATTCTTCCTTGTCCTAATGCAAAATTTAGCAAACAATTCTTATCTGATACAGATTCTTCTGATACAGATCAGACACAGATTTCTCTTTCCAGTAATTCTTTTGGCCAACCCCCATTCTCCTCCACACAACTTCACAATTCTTTTCTTGCAAAGGGGCAAAATAGGATGTATACAGGTAGCCCTTGTACAACAGTTCACTTAGTGACCATTTGAAGTTTCAACAGCACTGAAAAAAGTAACATGACCATTTTTCACACTTATGACCTTTGCAGCATCCCCATGGTCCTGTGATATATATTTGGATGCTTGACAACTGACTCATATTTATGACAGTTGCAGCATCCTGGGGTCATGGGATCACTTTTTGTGACCTTCTGACAAGAAAAGTCAATGGGAAAACCGCATTCACTGTGTTACTAACTTAACTGCAGTGATTCGCTTAACAAATGTGGTAAGAAAAGTCATAAACTGGGGCAAAACTCACTTAACAAATTTCTCATTTAGCAAAAAAAAAAAAATTGACATCAATTGTGGTTGTAAGTTGAGGACCACCTGTACAAGCTTCTTAGAATTAAATAGGACTTGGCTTGATAGCATCTTCCTTCCCAGCGGTGGTGCTGCTAATTCCAAACAGGTTGTATATACCTGGCCAATTCTCAAGTGGATGATGTGTTGTTGTTCTCCAGAATTTTTCCCTGCATTTGGAGTTGGGCTGTTACCTTATGGAGTTACACCAGACAAAAGTGATTTACAGAGCAGGTGTTTATAGCAGGGAAAGGATCTTTGAATGTTTGCCAATGGATTGAATGAAGCAACGTTTTGTTGTTGTTGTCACTAGGCTTTTAATTTTTAGTTTCCTTTTTTATTTCACTTCTACTGCTCCCTAGACAGTTAGGCTTGGATATATTAAAATGGACAACTATGGCCAAACAAGCACATCGTTTTATTTTTGCCCCCTCTGTCTTGGACAGGAAGATCTCAAAAGTGGAATGTGTGTTTGTGGGGGGAAAGAAATGGGTAACTCAAGGTGAAAGCCTCAAAAGCTGAAACCACAGTAAAGAGGAAGTCCAGCCTTCCTAGTTGGGCGAGCGCATTCCCTGGAACCCTTGGTGGGGCATCCTCTTGTTAGATTGGCTGGGAGAGATCACTTCTACCCAGCCACAACTAAGCCTTAGTTGTCAAGTGATGAGTCAGCCTGTCACTCTAGCTACATTTCTCAACTCGATTGCACCAACATCTCCCAGCACAACATAGGGTGTGACAAGGGAGAATAGCGGCTTGATTCCTGCAGATATCTGTATTAGACACCTTGTAACCCAGACTTCTTACTCTACGGCAACCAGGAGGATGGCTAATGTTCACATGCCAAGCGGTATTGATTACAACCGGGTCATGTCTCTGCCCAGCCTCCATTTATCCATCCGAAGGTTAGTTGGGCAATGTGTTGTCTGCCATAGCTAGCACTGAGTGTTGTGTCTGGGGGATGGGTGTTGCTCGTGTCTGCATGTTTCCAGTCATGCTAGAGGACACTTTTTAGTTGCCCAAGTCAGTGGTGAGAGGTAGGCTGCAAGAACTGGGGGCCATGGAAACCTGGAGTTTCTGATTCTTGGGTTGATGAGAAGCTAGCATTTGCTAGTATTTGAGGGACCGCACATTGTAATGAAGGGCACTAGTGGTGTGTGGTTGAGGTTACTTGCACTGAATCTTGCAGAAGAGTGCTGTGGGTGCTGTTTTTTCCACCATATTTCCAAAGAACTTTACCATGGGTGCTGTTTTTTTCACCATATTTCCAAAGAACTTTTAACTCACTGAAGGATGGGAATTCTGTTAATATTTTTGTAGTTTGCTAATGCAAACATCTTATGCCATTGTTTTGTTGAGACTTATTTAGGAGGAAGCACCCAAAAGACAGAATGGGGCTTACTTCCAATATATATTGTGTTGTCAGTTCCTTACAGTCCAGGAATGCAATTGGAACAATTAACCATTATATAGAAATGTGCGTATGTTATACAAGAACAGTTTATTGGCCAGCAGAGGGAGTAAAAAGTAAAAAAAAAAATGAGGAAGGAAGAGAGCAATTCTCTAAAGCGTCATTTATGCCGGTTACTAAATAGTTCCAGTTTTGCATAAAGGAAATCTTATGTGCTCTGTTGTAAAGCCTAGTATCTATGTAAAATAAACAAACCAATATGGCTGATACAAATTGGGTAATTTTATTTACACGTGCTCCATTTACAACTTCAGTGGAACTCTTTGCTTGAATTTTAACTGGCTTTGTGGATTGGTGGAAAGATATATTGTGGGCGATGAACAGAGTGTAGTAGAGTGGTGGTGAAACCCAGATTCTTTCAAAATTTAATTCTGAAGTTCCAATTCACATTATTTCCAAAATATTGCTCCAATGTGAGATCAATCGTTTTTTGTTTAAGTGGAAAGTGAGAATCTAGATTTTGAAAAATAAATTGTGTTATGATTTAACCTTTATGTGCCTGCATTAGATGTGCAGAGTGAGGAATAATATAGCTTTTTTAATCCAACTGTAAATTTGGTGTAGGTTTAGCTTACAGAGGATTCTAGAAAATAACTGTATTAAACTGTTTGTGTTTATGTGCAGCTTTTCTTAAAAAAACGGACTTGACTCAAGTAATGTGCAAGATTTCCTGTGTAACTATTTAACACATAATGTGATTTTTGTGCATAGCATGTTGTTTTTTATAGTGTATTAAACATACTTATATCTTAATGCAATCTTTGAATCCTGCCAATAGTGGTTTAATCAATAAACCATATTTAAGAAACTCATGATTTAGCCCAGTATGCAAAACAGGTCTGTGAATAAGAGTGGATGCTGAACAGAGCTGCTGAACTCTCTTTGAATTGGTTATTCTTCCCACATTAATATAGTGGAGGTTCTGTATATGTAATATTAGGTGAGCAACATTCTTAAATTCCTTGACATGTTTCTTTTTTTCCTCTGGCAGCTTTGAAGTGGAAAATGGCCCATCTCCAGGTCGCAGCCCCCTGGATTCCCAGGCCAGTCCTGGATTGGTGCTTCACCCCAGCTTTCCGCAGAGCCAAAGGCGTGAGTCCTTCCTATATCGTTCGGACAGTGACTATGACATGTCACCAAAGACCATGTCACGCAACTCCTCCATTGCCAGTGAAGCGTAAGTCCCTCTTCTTTCTTCAGTGGGATCATAGAGCAATCCGATAAAGCCTCAGATCTCTTAAATGCTCAGGCAGGTAGACCTTGGGCTGGAAAACACACAGGTCCTATGGGTGACAGGTGGGTTGAAAGCCAGGCATCTTATTGCATCCCCTTTCTCAGTGACAAGCTCCCTGAACCAAAGAAAGACCAGGAATCAGCCTGTTGACCACAGCACTGGATCAGCCATAGACTGGGAGGCTTATAGGTTCTCTTGTGAACCTTCCAGCAGTACCAGTTAAGCCCTTCCCTATGTTAGCTGGCAGTCCTGAGTGAGTGCAGAACTGTGGCCTCTTAAGACATAGAGCTCCTCATTTGAGCTTCACTGCGTCTGAACAAGTAAATTATGGAGGGCCCTTATGAATGGTCAGGTGCAGTGGTGGTATTTAACCGGTTTGCACCGGATCGCGCGAACCGGTAGCAAGAATTTGGCGTGGGTTGCCGAACCGGTAGTAAGTTCTGGCTGGCCACAGCCCCCACCCGGTCGCCCTCTCGCCCGATGCTCGCTCACCCCGCCCACCTGCCTGACATTTGCCTAAAGTATTTTTTTTTACCCTCCCGACAATCAGCTATGCATAGATCAGCTCTGCCGGGATTCTCCTTGCTGAGGACCAGGAAGGCAAAAAATGGAAGGAGGAGCTCAGCCACCCCCCTCCATTTTTTGCCTTCCAGAGCCCCAGAGGAGCCTTAGGGGAGCAAAAACGCGCCCCCCCCAGGCTCTTCTGAGGCTAGGAAGCTCCCCAAAATGGGTGGGGGCTGCAAAAAAAGCCACACCTACCCAGTCACGTGGCCACGCCCACCAAGCCACGCCCACAGAACCAGTAGTAAAAAAAATTTAATCCCACCACTGGTCAAGTGTGCTCAGGGCTGGGTTGAAGATGATGCAGTATTGAGATAGGCAGTTATCGGTAGTCGCGAAGGAAATACATTTTCTCTTCTGAGCAGAGCCAACATTCTTGATGTGAAAGTCTGTTCTCAATATTGCAGCCTAATTTTCTTGCAATCCCAAACAAAGTTCACCACATTCTGAAATATAAAGTAAAACGGCTGTTATCTGCAGCACAATTGAGAAGGGGAGCAAAGCTCACGTTTGCACTAGTTTTCTTAGCTCCTTCTGTCAGGGATCTTCTACATCCCTTAGATCAGGATGCTGGAATTTGGAAGCAAAAAGGGGGGAAATGGCGGCTTCCTTTTCCTGTCCTTTTTTATTTATTAGTTATTTATTTATTGTTACCCAATTCCATTTGGGTAACAAAAATACCATGAAAAATTGCTGTGTTATATCACCACTTGATTTAACAATGCTGTTTTGCATAATGCACACACTATCCAAATGCCAAAAAAGAGAGAGGTCCACATATTTTATTAACCTCGTGTAACTTTACATTGCTGCTATGTCGCTGCAACATTTAAGCTCATGGTATGGTAAAAGTAGTATGGGATGTTTCCATAATAAACTTAACCACCCTTTCCCTGGATCAGTACTTCTCAATCTCAGCAACTTTAAGATAATATGGACTGCAGTTCCCAGAATTTCTCTGTCCAGCGTGCTAACTGAGGAAGTTCTAGGAATTATACATTGTATAATGTATACATTATGCATCTCAATGTTGCTGAGGCTCAGAAACAGTCATCTAGATGCAGTGGGTGGGAAGGGACCTGTTTCTAGAATGCAAATTCTGGTTTGGGTAGGGTGGAGCCATTCCTTACGGCCTGAGAAATTGCTTTGGGGACAGCAGAAGGTAGGGCCAAATATTGGAAAAACAGGGGTGGCTCCATCACCTTCTCTATTACAGTGGCCCCCAACCTTTTTTGAACCAGGGACCGGTTTGACGATTATTTATTCTTCCACGGACCGGTACCTTCTACTACTAGTCCCTAAAGCAGCGCGGAGCTGCTTTAGCTGGGCTTCTCTTTCCCTTCTCAGTCTCTCTCACCTTCCTCAGTGATCTGTCGCCCTTCTGCTTTCCAGCCTCGGGCAAAAAAAAAAGACTTGGCACAGCCGGCTAGAAAGCACGCCCGAATTCCTCGCAGCTTCCCGCCTCTGCCTGCAAGGAAGTGGGCGGCGGGGGGGCGAGGGTTGCAAGCGTGGGCTGGGAAGTGGGACTGGTCAGGGAATGACCAGGAAAGTCGGAGGCGCAGCCGCCACCGCCGCAGCTGCTGCTGCTTCTTCTTTGCGCTCTGGTGACGGACGCCGTGGTGCTCCTTCAGCGCCTGTGCGCAATCTGTTCCTCCGGGTCGTGGTGCAGCAGCAACAGCAACAGCTTTATCTGCGTGCGTGCGTGCGTGTGCGTGGTTGACAGAGGAGAAGGAGAGGAAAAAGGAGACTAGCACTGGGCATACCGTAGCACTCTTTTCTCCCTCTCTCCCCCTCGCGGCGCCCAAGCTTTGCGGCCCGGTAAAAAATGATCCACGGACCGGTACCGGTCTGTGGACCGGTGGTTGGGGACCCCTGCTCTGTTAGATGTTAGATGAAAGAGTTGGGAAGATACTTGCAGAGTTAAAAGAGAAGGACTGGATTTTTTTCTGTCCCTGCCAAGTGTAATGAATCTTTAGCTAGTGGGGTGTGAACCATTTATATAATAAATGAAGAGAAAAGAAAAGAGGGAAATGAGGGAAAATAAAACATCTAACTTGCCCATATGCAAGGAGCTATAGATATAATGCTAAATTACCTTTGCACTCTTATGGTCTGGAAGTTCAGGAAAGGAAGAGCCAAAGTTGCCTTGAGTGGCAGAAAAACTGTTCTGATATTATAGGGATAAGCAAACTGCAACTCACAAGTCTCTCTTTTGCAAGCCTCAGAGCCTCCTTGACCCAACCTTGCATATTATCTGGTCCAGACTACTTTACTGCTCTCAGCACCAGCTCCCCACCCTCACCCCATATTAGTATAGGCTTTGACACCCCCCCTCTCCCCCAGGAATGTCTTCACCAGTCCAGCAAAGTCCTGTCTCCTACTGAAGGCTTTGGAGAGAGAAAATAATATAGGACGATTGGTGGGAGGGAGAAATCTGGTTAGCTCCGAAGCAAGTTTTTACAAGGTGCTTCCCTGTGAAACAGTCTATTTCAAGATCCTTGATGTGATTCCTCTGGACTCTATTATCAAATAATCTTTTCCACTGTGTTGTGCAAAATATAGATAGTTTAAAGGAACACAGCAACCTAGGTTTAAATAATGCACTTCAGGAAAAAAAAAGTTAAGTTAGTAGCAGTATTCAGTATGTAGGCTGGGATTGCCTTAAGGACCATTGACTTTTCTTAATAGTAAATGTTTTCAAGGCTCAAAAGTGAACTTGTCTGCTTAAGAAAATGGCCTACAACAGGGGTGTCAAATTTGCAGCCTGCGGGCTGGATGCGTCACGTGCTGGTCCCGCCCCCACCCTGTTTAGCGAATGGGCTGAAAGTCCTGATACGACATGTGACACCGCCGTGACGATGCGAGTTTGACACCCCTGACCTACAAGTATTTTCTCTGAGTGTTATCCAAGTCTCCTGCCAGGAAAGGTGTGTAGCTCAGATTATGGGAGGCTGTGGGTTTAGTTATTATTTCTTTATTTCTTCCCACCTATATCCTATTTTTTCCTATAGAAGTTGATGGCAGTGTGCTTATACTTTCCTGTTCCCCCTTCCCATTTTGTTTTCAAAACAATTCTGTGATAAAACAATTGTCTGGTTAAGTGAGGACCTGAGTTTTCTCTGCTCTCATTTAACACTTTAAACTTCAGGTTCTGTTCCTTCCCTCCAAAGTAATACAAATCTGTCATTTTTCTCCTTTACAGGCATGCTGAAGACTTAATAGTGACACCATTTGCCCAGGTATGGCTCAAGAAAAATCTGTTGGTCACACATGGGAAGATCCTACTAAAAATCCCACAAACACTTTTAAGTTCTCTAGAGTTTTCTACAGATGTGATATTTAGCAACCAAGTAGGGAGAAGTCAATGGCCAAGAATATGTTCTTTTTTATATGCCAGCTCTCTCTCCTTCTCTTCAAAAGAACCTTCCTTCCTTCCTAGAAGGAATCAGTCATTAAGCAAATTTTGAAGCAGCCTTAATTTGTAGTTTGCAAACTCTTGTACACTACAGGTAGGTTTTGATTTATCATTTTCTTAATTTGAGAATTGTTCATAAAGCCTACTTTGGTGCAGTAGATCTTTCATTTCATATTGGACTTTGACCGAGTAAGCCACTTTTATTAGAGGCTAACCACATTCCTTAAAACAAACTTCTCAGTAGCAGTATATGTGTAGATGAAAAGAGTTGCAGACGATTAGGTTGATAGCATCCTTTGTATTTCTACCAATCAACACGGCCAAGTTTTCTTTTTTCCTTGTCTCTATTGATGAAAAATATATTGAGCCTCTGATCATTTAGAGGAATCTAGAGCTTTTATCTATTGGAACAATGGAAAAGGAAGTTAATTCTTTTGGTACATATTAGCAACAATATACACGTTTCCATTTGGGCCTGGAAATAAATAACTTTCTTGGCTCAAGTCTCCCTCTTCTCTTTACAGCCCCTAATTCCTTAAGTGGAGGAAGACTCCTTCAATTTGATACTTTTTAATTATAATTATTCTATTGCAAGCTTTAGCTCTAACATTCTTGTTCCATATGTACTTTCTACAGGTCTTGGCAAGCTTGAGGAGCGTACGTAATAATTTCTCCATCCTGGCAAATGTTCCTACGCCAACATCCAATAAGTAAGTGTTCATCAAAGCTGAGGAATTAAACTATTGATGTCTCCTTGATCTTTTATGAAGCCAAGGTATAGATACCAGGTCTTCATATGTATTGGATAAGCAGCTGTTTGAGGACCTAGTAGACACGCATGTGCAAAATTTCAGATTCCTCCAGATTCCCGAGAATCTGCTGCATTCAATTTGAGCCAGTAATACTAAGTTTTCATAGTCCACAAAGCTGATAAAGAGCTACTGGAATGAGAGATTGTATGCATTGTATGAGTCTTTCACTGCAATAGCTAAATAAACTCCTCAGGTACAAGGATTGTGTTCCTCTGAATACCAGTTCCTGGAGGGCAAAAATCCAGCAAGAGTTGGCTGTTGCTTGTCAGTTTTCTCTGATCAGCTCCAGTTTAGAACTGGAAAAATATTATCGGACTATCTAGATCCTTGGATAATGCCAACAAGCCCTTTTGGTTCATATGTCATCTTATTGGGAAGGGACAGAAGTTGTTTCTCACCATATCCACTATAATGCTAAAGTGACTTCCTGCCATTGCTGGACATGTTTACTTTAATGCTTTAACAGTCAAGTATTCAAAAATTTATTTCACATGTATTCTTTTAAACACGGGCAACATATGGACTCCAGAAAGCTTTGGATTCTTTGTTTTTCCGAGATAGAATGGATGGTGTTCAAGAATAGTTGGATTTGCACTCTGACAACATCTGGTAGTGGACTAGAAGTTTCCGGCCACTTAGTTATTCATGAAAAATAATAATAGTTTATTAGATCTTTTTTGTGAAATCAGCATAATTGTAATCTTTGCTGGCTAGACCAGAGATGCCACCACATGTATGAAATAGGGGGAAAGAATCCTGTAATATTGAGCATGATGGCATTTGGTTTGTTCCTTTCTTTTCAGTTCACTCTCATTTGTTAAACTCCTGTCACTGACTAATCAATGCCAGAGACAGAATTCAGAACTTTAGAACACTACAAGAATGGAATGCAACTCCGTTTGAACATTCACAGTACTATGCTATTAGAAGTCCAAGGAGATACTCCAGGTTTCCAGACATTGTTGGCCTGTAACACCCATCAGCCTCAACCAGTATGGCCATCATTGGGGGTCTTATGAGTTAGAATTCAATAATATCTGATGGGCTGTATTTCTTCTTGACCCTACGTTCTATGTCAATTGTGTAGCTTGAAACTTCCTATATTAAAAACTTGAATACAATTGCTGCTCCTTAGAGGTAAGAGAAACAAGGGAAGAACCTTAATTTCTCAATGGTTCATAGAGAATGGTTGCCCCAGTTCCATCTTCTAAGACCCCTATATTTCCACCTTATAACAATAATTTCTAGGACACAAACTTGGTGCTGTGGTATGTAATATACTGCCCAGAGTAGCCCCATGGGGCGATGGGTGGCTAATAAATTTAACAGATAAAAATAAATTATAGATAACCAAGAAAGCAGTTGTTATGTGCAAGCATGTTAAAATGTTATCTTGTTGAATAGGGTGAGCAAAAGATGCTTAGCTCCTTTTATATTTTGTGCAGTAAGGAAGATGCTGACCTTTTTCCTATTTTTTGCTACCTTAGGAGATCTCCCTTGGGCAGTCAGCCAGCTGTTTGCAAAGCCACCCTCTCAGGTAAATGCCATTTTGTTTTCTACGACCAAGCAAATTCTGGTTCAGACAAGAGGGTGCACATAACCAATCTTGTAGACTGGCATTGGATCTCAGCATTAAAAACCTTAAAAACGTACAAAGTGCACCTATTGAAATGTATTGAAAGTGTCCCAGAAAATCCCACTCTCTGTGAAAGATTATTGCTTTGGATGGGTCTACATCATCTTCCTCTGGGGAAAAGCAAATGTGATTAAATGACAGTTGGGTACCAATGTGGATCTTACTTTGAGGCAAGTTGAGACAGCTCACTCTGACATCAGGTTTGGAGGAAATAAGAACATGAGGGCTGTAAGCAAGGGTTGCGCGAAAGTGGTGGTAAAGGACACAGGTTCTTCACAGGAACACCAAGCTTGTGTTCAGTTCATTGATGCTTGTGTTAGGAGAGTCCACAGACAGGCTGTGTCCATATTAATTAGGGAACTCTTCAGAAAGTCTTCTTGGCTAGGCCAAGCTCATACTCTTAAGTACAGCATGCTTATAGAAAAAGCTATGCATCGGTATTCAGCCCTCTGGTTTTACACTTTAGATAGCATTCATTTTTAAATGTGACATTCACTTTTCCTCTGGAGATGTGTCAGAATGGGAAAAATCAACCCAATTTATCTTTCTTTGAGGAAGATTGAAACACTTTGATAGCTCTTCAAGTTCTTGCCTCAGGAGGAATCTGTCTTTAGGACTTCTCTGTTGTTTAAATGAAAGAGTTTAAATGAAAGGGAACCTTCCCAGTAAAGTAGCATTATCTAGTTATGACATTTCAGGAGTGACCCACATCCAAAAATTGACCAAACTCCTACATAGAATAGAATCCTATAATCCTATAGAATCCTATAATCAGTGGCACTTTTGAAGATCTGCTGTGGGAAAGACTTACTTCAAAAGTTGGGGGTTTATGGGGAGAACCCCTCTAGCTGATCATAGTCCATGCTGATTGGAATGATGAGAGGTGAAATTAAACATCAGTAGAGCCACAGCTTGCTCAGCCCCTGCCTGATATTAATGCCAGGAGATAACATTGACTACAAATGTCTAGGGTGCAGAAAACACAGGTTTAGAGGGACAATTGCTTGATCCTTTGCAAGAAATGCCAATGTAAATGCAGCAAGTACTGATATACAGTATATAATATGTGCTATGTTAAGAAACCTTCAGTTAATTCCTCAGCTGCTGGAATTGTGGCAAGATTATGTACATCTGCTTATATCTATGTACAAGCATATGAATTGTTAATAGATGCAAATAAGTTGTGATCTGAGCTCTGACCATGTTTGATGCCTATATGGTAGTTGAAAGGAGCTACTTTGAATGGATGCAGAAATTGATAGGTTGATAATACTGTGCTGTGCTAGAATATGCCAATTTATTGATTGTGGCAACTAATGAGCTGCCGAGATTCATTTTGTTTTTAATTTGTATGTAAATGGAAGCTTTCATCAGGATTATTGAATAGGCTATAGAGAGTACTTGTAGTTGACAATTAAAACTGTAGGGAGCTTATGTGTGGCTGTTCAGTGGTCTAGAAATATAAGAGGCCAGAATAATAATCTCCTCCACCTTCTCTCCCCCCGCCCCAGACAGGGGTGGGATTCTACCAGTTTGCACCTATTCACTAGAACCGGTTGTTAACATTCTAAGCAGTTCAGAAACCTGTAGTTAGAAGAAATTACTGGCCTAATCCTGTAAGGAAGGCAGGAAGGAAACATTCTGGTGTTGCTTACAGAAACTGCCTCTCCATTAACCCTTATTACATTCTTGGCAGGACTAAACTTTCTGTCTCAGAAACTTCTCTGGAGTTTTTTTTCCCTTCCTTTGCTGGTACTTTGCTTGTGTAGAGTGACCATTCAAAGTTACAATGGCACTGAAAAAAGTGACTTATGACCATTTTTCACACTTATGGCTGTTGCAGCATCCCCACAGTCATGAGAGGCCAGGCGAGGAGATGCGTGCCTCGATGTGAGTGATATTGAGTTGGCCATGCACAGTCAAAAACATGACCACCAGGCCATGTCCACCCAGCCACATGACCACCAAGCCACGCCCACCACCTAAGCCATGCCCATAGAACCATTTGTTAAAAGATTTGAATCCCACCCCTCCCCCCAGATAATATAAAAAATTATCTGTCCCAAAGCAATCCACTCTACTTACAGTAAGTGAGCCATGTGAACTGGAAGGGATCATTGTAGAGGTAAATAAGGGGAAAGCTGTTAAACTATGTCACACCTCTCAGTTATTGTCTACCAAGATACAATAGAATTCAGTTCTGTTTCCCAATTTCCTGGGATCCTTTTCTTCTCGCTGCTAATGAAACGGGTCATATATGTAGATTTCAGCATATTTCTCCGGTAAGCACATTTCAATTGCTATAAGGAGGTAGCAGAATGTAACAAACCTATCCCCAGGATCAAGCATTGCCTGGTTGAAACACTTTGTTAGACTCCCTGTTGGAGCTGTGATAAGAAAATGTTGCTTTAAAAAGTTGGCAAAGCGCAAGTAATAGTTTTAAACAGATTGATAATCAACCTTACAACTAAATCTTAACCAGATTCGTACATTTTAGTAAATAAGGAAGATACTATGAGAAAGCATATGAGCCTTGCAGGATTGGTTTTACTATTAAAGAAGTGGCTATCTTAAATTAGCTGATACTCATGCCATGAGTCTAGTTTATGGCTGGGAAGGGGTGCTTGTAGAATTCTATATCAGAAGTGTCAAAATAACTTGCATCTTGATTAAACAGAGCATGCCGTGCCATTTGCCGCTCTGTCTCAGGAAGCAAATTATTTTGGGCCAGCCCCGAGTGCAGAAGTTCAATCCTAGTTCCAGTTGTATTGTTCTTGAACTAGACATGCACCACCTGAAGCTGATGGCAGTATTTGTATCCTGACATGCATTTCAATTGTCACTCACCTTTCCCTGTGTGTATTTTGCAACCTAAAGAAAGTTGCAAAAATAGAAAACATATTGGGCCCTGGTAAGTTACCTTAGATAATTGGTTGCTGGGTGGCTTTGAGACCTTCCTTCCTTCCATTCTAAAGATGATCTTTTGGGCATCATTGTCTAGGTTAGCTTGCATCATCTCAGTGAATCTGATCTTCACATGCTTTTAGTTAAGGAGACTTGAGTAGAAGATTATAGAGGGAGACAGTCAGTTCTTTTGGGAATGCTTAAAAGATCACTTGAACCTAAATTTATTTTCCCACTTGTTCCGCAGAAGAGACATACCAACAACTAGCCAGAGAGACCTTAGAGGAGCTAGACTGGTGTCTTGACCAATTAGAGACCATTCAGACCTATCGCTCTGTCAGCGAGATGGCATCTAACAAGGTAAGGAAGAATGTTCAGCAATTGCAGCAGATGCACCGTGGTATCCAGGACGATGTCAATATTTTGTCTGTTATTAGTTCCACCGAAACATCTGTCAACTTTGAAATGTATACAGCCCATATTTGTATTTTCTATGATAGTTTTATTCTTCCCACCTGTATTACAGCATATATTATATAGCATGCATTGTATCTGTGTTACAAAGCCAAAATATTGCAACATGGAATGCCTGCTGACCATATTGACCTCTGAAATATTTCAGCCCCTTTGACTTTTTATTATGCTCTGTTCTCCGGTAATCAGTCAGCATCCATGGCAGCTAAGTTTATGTAGTCACAACACGGAGGGTCCTTTTTTTCAGGTTTCCATTCCAAACATTTGCTTACACACTCAAATTTCCTTAAACTTGTTGACGTTGTGTTTGGATGATTTATTTTAGCTATGTAAGCTGTGACATGCTCACAGACTGAACCTCAGGAAGGCAGGGAAATACAAAAGATATTTGTCTGAAAGTAAGTGCTTTTGACCCTTCCCTGTTGTTTCCAAAAGCATTTATAGGATCTGATTGTCTTGACATCAGGAGTTACAGAAGTATAGTGATTTGTTCTTTATCAACTGAAAATGGAATTTAGGTGGCGGTGGTATTCAAAAATTTTTACTACTGGTTCTGTGAGCATGGCTTGGTGGATGTGGCATGTCTTGGTGGGCATGGCAGGGGAAGGATACTGCAAAATCTCAATTTCCACCCCACTCCAGAAGAAGGATACTGTAAAATCCCCATTCCATCCCCACTCCATTAACCTGTTTTCCAGCTCTGTTCTCCTGTGCAGGGCAACAAAAGAAGACCCATCCAATCAGCAGGGACTCGGGAGGCAGAGAATAGATGGGGGCGGGACCAGTCAGAGGTGGTATT